AACAGTAAGCCTATGCAGCACTGTAACCAAGGAGCTCAGAGAAGCCATGAGGAATGGCCTTGCTACCGGACTTGCCAAACCACGTGAAGAGTAAACTGTTCAACCCGACATTCGCTTCACTTGTTGCCGAAAACACTCTTAAAACTCATAGTGACCCTTTTGCACAATTCAAGGGGGTGCCATTCATGTAGTTATGCTGCTGAGCAGCCCTATGAATTTGCTTTTATTTGTCCATCCTGGTTGCCTTTTGTAGAGACAAAAAAGAAAAAATGAATTCAATCAACTAACACTTCTCAGTTACCGGCATTTTCTCAAGATTAGAAAAGCAGATAATAAAGCTCACACAAGTCTCAGAGACATGGTCTTCACTTTTAAACCTGTTGGTCTGAAGTTTTCAGATCTTTAAAGAAGCTTAACTTTTTGTAAAAGACTTCAATGTATGTTAATCATGAGCACTAAGGATCATAAGGTCTAGAATATCATAAAATGTCACCATCATAGTCTATCAACAAAGTGCTGTGCAGCAATGACATGGCCTGGATTCCCAGCAATTTAATAAACATATAATTAACATGATGGATTTCAAACCTGTGCAAGCCTGACCCTATAAGTGCATTTATACATTAGGAAAAAAAAAATCTTCTGTAAGATTGTGTCCTTATTTTGGTATTAGAAAAAGTGGTTGTCATAAGCACACATCTGATTTTGTGTTTGCATTTTTTTAAAACATAAATTGATTGAGTTTGATAGTCTCACAAAGGCTACTGAGACCTTCAGTTTTTTAATGAAACTGGAAAAAGCAATATTTTTTTAAAACAGAATGAAGATTAGTGGCTCAGTTAGTTAAAGTTCTGACTCTTGATTTCAGCTCAGGTCATGATCTCATAGTTTGTGAGATCGAGCCCTAAGTCGGGCTCTGTGTTGACACATGGAGCCTGCTTGGAATACTCTCTCTCTCTCTCTCACACACACACACACACACACACACACACTCTCTCTCTCTCTCTCACACACACACTCTCTCTCTGTCTCTTAAAATAAACTTAAAAAAATAAAAATTAAAGACATATAATCCCAGCTCTCTCCTCCTCATAGGCTATCACATTTGCTTTCCTAATATTCTTTCAAAGATACTTTCTGTGTTGTGTGTGTGTACATTTTATGTAAAATGCCATTTTCAATCAGGAGTTTTCTGTCTTACATTTTTGCATTCATAGAAACCATAAACTGCTCTGTGTGAAATGTCTTAAAAATCTTAACAATGGTTTAAAAATATCCCAATTTCTCTAAAGCACCACTAATTTCTCTACATGCACTCAGTTGCCTAACTCCTATATCAGAGCAACTCATCAACTGTAAAATGCTGCCGTAGTTTCAGAATTCACTTTACTATTATTACCTGATTCCAAGCACTTCAGGTCCTTTGGAATTCCAATGATAATATTACCAGGATTCAAAATAGGAAAAAAAATTGCTAACAACATTCCCTCTTTAATTAAAATTGTGCCTCTCCTAGCAGACTCTTTGCTTTCCTTCAGTTGTGTCGGGTGATTGAGAGCTTACCAGTGACATAACAGTTCGGATTGCCAGCAGTTAATTATCAGTACTGTGAATGTGTTCACGGAAGTTCTGATGAGTGTTTACTCTTTCGGCGATGGTGTTCGGTACTGTTCTAGGAGGTAGAAAAAGCCACAGCAGATGGTTCCGGCTTGGGAACAGTGGGAAGAAAGCTGTAGAGTGGACTCAGATGAAGGGGGGTTCCGACACCAGCCAGAGCTCAGATTTGATATTGTCAACAGGAAACTGCTGAAGGTTTCTTAGATTATACTCTAAAAATACATTCCTGCTCTGGATTGGAGGAACATTGGGTGGCAGTGGGTCCGGAATTAGAATGGCCAATTCAGAGACTCTAGTAAAATTCAGATTTGGGTCAATGGAGCTCTAGGCTTCCGTGGCAGCATAAAAATGTGGGCATTTTGATAGAAAAACAGATAGGACTTGGTGACTAAGCAGATATGGAGAAGAGGGAGAGAGATGAGACAATGATGACGCTGTGATTCTGAACATGGCTTGGAAAGTGGTAGCACACAGGCAGTAGGGAAGTCAGAAGGGGGGGAATTAGACTTTTTTGTAAGGAAGCTGATAAATTTGGCTCTAGACAGGCTGAATTTGAGCCATTTGAGCCAAAGGTTCAGTGGAAATTTGAAGATGTGTAACTAAGACACAAGTCAAAGGATAGGATTGGAGATTTCATATATATATATATATATATATATACACACACACGTATGTATATGTATGTATATGTATATGTATGTATATGTATATGTATGTATATGTATATGTATACACATGTATGTATATGTACATATACATATACATACATATACATATACATATACACACACATATGTGTGTGTGTATATACTTTAATGGAATATTTCAAATACATCAAACATAGACCAAACAGTAAAGAACCCCACATACCCATCATCACCCAACTTCAATAATGATCAGATCTTGGCCAACCTTGTTTCATCCAGATTCTCCACCCAGTATTACTCTGAAGCATATTCCAGACATGGAGAGAAACAGATTTAAAAGCATGAAGTACAGAGGCACCTGGCTGGTTCAGTCAGTAGAACATGTGATTCTTGATCTCCAGGTTGTGAGTTCAAGCCACAGGTCAGGTATAAAGATTAAAAAAGAGAAGTATGAAGCACAGAAAATAGAGATTTGGGAAGGCCTCAGAGAAGTTTAAAGCACACCCTCTCATCTTACAAAGGAGCAAAGCTAAAGATTAGAGATAGTAATGAATTTCCACTAGTTTAAAAAAATACAACTGTGGAGCTATAACTGGAACCCAGTTCTCTGCAGTTTTGTGGAGTTTTCATCTTCTTTGAGATGAAATGAGAAAAATAAGGATGACATGTAAATTTTTCAGAAAGCTAAGATTAAAAAAAATACTGTTTGTAAACATTTTACAAATTATTCTTTGTAAACATATTTACAAAGTAAACATTTGTCGTGTTTACTTCATTTGTAATTCTGTCAAATAACACCATGGGTCCCGTACATCGTAAATTAGAACTAGAACATAGGTCCTCATGCTAACAGCAGAACAAGAAAACTGAGCTTACTTAATTATCATTGGTTGGTTTTCGTACCGTGGCCCTCCAGCCTCTGGGGTCATGCTAAGTGTGCCTTAGAGACAACAAAAGAGTCCTATCTGTCCAGAGTCAGTTTACTTTTGGCTGCCAGGGAAGTCACCTTGAATGACACATTGCCTCTCGTACCATGCCTCCCTACATTTATGGAGCAAACTTTGTGTTGATTGTGGTGGGCAGGAAATATAACATGGCAGTAAGAGGTGGATATAAATTCCATAGAAGGGTGCAAGCTGAAACACATTCTGCCTGCACAAAAAAAAGATACTTTTATCAGAAAATATGACAGTTCATGGATCCAACTTTGATTTAATTTTTTACTTAATCAGTGTGAGTCATAGTTTAAGTATCTGGCAATGTTCTTTGCAAAGATGTGATGAAGCCAAAAAACCTTTGGCTTTTTTTGTAAATGGGATTAAATCCTCATGATGAGCCTGCGAGTTAGGGCTCTTCCCCCACCATGGTCTCATTCACCTTCTGCCTGAAGGAAGTGACAATTTCAAAGAGGGTGGTCAATACCCCATGCAATAGAAAAGTTCAAAATGAGAGTAGGCAGAACATGGGGTTGTAAGCAGGCAGCTGAAGGACCCATGAGTAGAAGTGGGAACAGAAGCCAGCCAGTGAGCCAATGAGGCTAACCAGTGGGGTTACATTAGAGCCCAACATTATTTATTTTTAAATATAACCTTCTAGGGGTGCCTGGCCGGCTCAGTTGGTAGAGCACGTGACTCTTGATCTTGGGAGTTATGAGTTCAATCCCCACATTGAGTGTAGAGATTACTTAAAAAAAGATGTTAGTGCCCACTGGTGATGGTTTAAAAGGTTGGAAAAAGATTTTTATAAACAGTCTTCTAAAAATGCTGATTTGCAAAGCTCGCTTATAGCTATACTGCTTTTATTTTTACCCACGTTTGAGTCTACTGAAAAAGTGTCCTTTCTCTAGTATTATGAACACTTTAAGGCCCCTTTTATATGCTGAACATGGTGGTGATGCCTGGATTTCAGCCTCCCAGTGCACCTACTACAGCACCCTGGGACCTTAATGATTGCCTCATCCTTGCAATTAGGCACACTTACCACTCAACTGTTACCAAACACAGAATCAAGATAGAGAAAGCCTGAGTCTTGAGGGTCATACTCTTTGGAAACCTCTGACCTCGTGCTTTCCTTAGGGTGGGGACATTAAGAAACTACCTACCAAGCGACTCTAATTAGTTCCATAAATCTCTGCCACAGCCTTTTGGGGAGATGCTTAGGATATAAAGCTTAAGTGTCAACATTTATGTAACACACTATCTAAATCCTGCAAGTAAACTGACACAGTTTTTAAAGAAATGAAGGTATTGATGTATCAAAGCAAAACACCTACCCTTCCTTCCATTATTTAATATTATCAATGGAATTTAGCAAACTGACATTAACATAAAACCATCATTGCAATGCAGCATTAACACAAGTTGACATTATTTTGATAAGCAGCCCATACGAAGTATAAAATAAATTTATGTTTACCAAGCTGAAGGGAAAACAACTGAGAATAAAACAGATATTTCACATTGATCTTTTAAAGAAGCACCAATCATTTCTTCCGGTTTCCACCTTACATTCATTTATTTAACAATAACCCAAGTGCCAGCACGCTGGGGACCGTAAACAAAACCATCCCGATTCTGACTGCTTGCTGTGCAGTTTCTGGCTCTCAGAGCAGCTCCAAGAGTATTTATTGAGGGGAAAAAAAACAAAGGCTTTATTTAGACAGAAAAAATTTTATTTTTTTTGGCAACTCATTTTCTGATTTTTTTTAAATTTATAAGAACTAAAGGGAAATAAATACAATATTGTGGTATAAATCTGATGTTCTATTTAAAAAATTTAAATTATGTTCAACTTTTTTGCTTCATGTACACATCCATTGATTCAAACCATACAGTAATAACATACAGAAATTTCACGCACAACACCCACAATAAAAAATTGTTCGATGGCGTAACAAATCATTTCTGAGAATTACTTTTATCATGTTTTCTGATAATGTCCATAAGATTAGCTCCTGTAACCAGATCATTCTGTGTCTGTTTATCCTTCTGTTGTTCCTTTCTTTTCTGGTCATGAAGGTAAGGGGAGTTTAGTAACTGTGGGGGAAGAAGGGAGCCTGTGGGCTTTACCCTTTTTGCAATATCCCAGAAGAGTCTTTTTGAATTGTTATTGATGAAAGTAATCGCTGTTCCATTTTGACCTAATCTCCCCACTCTTCCAACCTGAAATGAAATGCAAAGGACATTTTCAAAATGTTCATATAAAACCTTAATGTCTCTTGCAAGAAAATTAAGATTAGTATTTAAAGAGGCTTTACTAAGATTAACATTCACCATTCACAGAGCGTTGTTTCGCTTTGTACGTCTCAATGTATTTTGTGAAATCAATTTGAGTAGACTGCCACCAGCATCTGTTTAATGAAATAGCTCAAAGAGAACATATAAAAGTGACACATGTAACACTAGTAAGTGTTGTCTGTGAACCCTGTGTTTCAGTTCCGGTATCTTGTGTGCGGGCGAGGTGGCAATGACATAAAGATGTTTCTTACTGTGCAGAGGGTAAGGTAAAAACTTTTTGAAAGCTATTGCTTTTAGAGCAAGAGGACTATTTAGAGTACTCCAGCGCCTTGAAATGTGAGATTTAAGCGAGTTCATTTTTGTATAAAGTTATTTCTCATTTTGGTAAAATTAAATGGACACAAATTTGTGATGGAAATACATGATAAGGAACAAAATTCACTTGTCTCCAAACATACTGAGAATCTCTTCAGAAGAAGGGTGATAAATACACAGTCATGGTCAATACACATTCTGCTCCTTAAGTGAAATATAGAACAAAGTCTATATTCAGAATATTTAAATGATTAGATAGTCGCTATCAATATATAGGACATTTTTAATGTTGTAAAAACAAAATAAAATATGGCCTTCTATGGAAGGAAACTGGGCACAAGAGAAAAAATGTTGTTTTATTCAATTATGTTACTGAATTTTTCCAATAAAACTAAAAACTAATATAAAATATAGCTTCCAGTACTCACGTACTGGAAGAAAATATTTGCGAATCATGTATCTGATAAGGATCATCTAGAATATATAACTAATTTTACAACTCAATAATAAAAGGAACCCAATTAAAAACTGGGCAAAGAATCTAAACAGACATTTCTCCAAAGAAGATACACAAAGCGCCAACAAGTACACAAAATAATGTTCATTAGTCATTAGGGAAATGCAAGTCAAAACACATGGAGCTATCACTTCATAACCATTAGAATGGCTATACTTAAAAACATAAATAATGTAAGTGCGATAAAGATTTGGAGAAATTGGAACCCTCATATATTGCTGGTGAGAAAGTAAAATCATGAGGCTACATTGGAAAAGAGTCTAGCATCTCCTCAAAATGTTACACACAAAAGTACTATATGACCCAGCAATTCCATTCCTAGGTGTGCGCCCAACAGAAATGAAAATGAACCTGTGCTGGCGAGGATGCACAGAAAGGGTAACATGAGCGCACTGCTGGTTGGAATGCAAACTAGTGTAACCTCTGTGGGAAATAGTATGGAGTTTCTTCAAAACATTAAAAATAGAATTATCATATGATCTAGTAATTCCACTACTGGGTATTTACCCAAAGAACAGGAAAACACTAATTCATAAAAGATATATGCATCCTATGTTTATTGCAGCATTATTACAATTTTTTTTAACACTTATTTATTTTTAAAAGACAGAGCACTAGTGGAGGAGGGGCAGAGAGTGAGAGAGAGGGGGAGACACAGTATGTGAAGCAGGTTCCAGGTTCTGAGCTGTCAGCATAGAGCCCAATGCGGGGCTCAAACCCATGAACCGTGAGATCATGACCTCAGCTGAAGTCAGATGCTTAACTGACTGAGCCAGCCAGGCATCCCTGCAGCATTATTTGCCATAGCCGAATTATGGAAGCAGCCCAAGTGTTCATCCATACATGAATGGATAAAGAAGATGTGGTATGTACCTATAGTGGAACATTACTCAGTCATAAAAAAGAATGAAATATTGCCATTTCATTTCAACAACATGGATGGATCTAGATAGTATAATGCTAAACGAAATAAGTCAGAGAAAGACAAATACCATATGACTTCACTCATGTGCGAAATTTAAGACACAAAACAAATGAACAAAGGAAAAAAATGAGACAAACCAAAAAATAAGCTTTTAACTATAGAGAACAAACTGATGGTTACCAGAGCAGGGAAGGGAATGGGTACAATAAATGGAATTAAGGAAGGGAATTAAGAGTACACTTATCATGGTGAGCACTGAGTAAAGTACAGAACTGTTGAATTACTATACTGTACACTCGAAACTATATAACACTGTATGTTAACTATACTGGAATTAAAATAAAAGAAATGAAAATCTATGTCCACATAAAAACTTGTACATGGGCTGCCTGGGTCGTTCAGTCAGTTAAGCGTCCGACTTCAGCTCAGGTCACGATCTCATGGCTCATGAGTCCGAGCCCCATATCAGGCTCTGTCCTGACAGCTCAGAGCCTGGAGCCTACTTCAGATTATGCAAACTCTAAAGGACAGCTGACTAAACAAATTCCAAATTATTTGCCCAGAAGTCCCTGTCCCCTAAGTTAAAAGCAAATACATGGAAACACCTACTATAATTTAAAATACACATATCCTTATAAAACAATAATACAAATAGAATAAGATAAAATAAAATACACATTCCTCTGACCTAGCAAGTCTCCGACAGGTCTATTTTATAAATATACTGCATGAGAGGAACAGTTGTACAGGTGGATGTTCACTGCATTAACAACAAAACATTGGAAATATATCCATCAAATTGTAAAGGATTTATTAAATAAATTATGGTTGTATGGACAACACATTTACCATGCAGCAATGAAAATAGATCAAGCCCAATTAAAAACAATCAAAAATATTTAAAGAGTTTAGAACAGTGCCTGGCCATATAGTAAGCACTACATACATATTAATATTTTTTAAATGGTACTTTATTTATTATGTGTGCTAATAAGGAAAGATGCCTACAATATATAATAAGGAAAGCAAGGCATAGAACAGTTGGTGTAATATGGTACCACTTACGTAATAAGTGTTACATGGTATGCATATACGTGTATATTTGTGCATAAACATGCATTTTCTATTTTCTGCACCATTAACTGTTGTAACTAGTCAAAAATAGAGGAGGGCTACCTTACAGAGACTTAGTTTTCAGTTTATATCTTTTGTTATTTGTATTATTTCTTCTTGTGTATATGTACACTTCAATTACTGAAGCAAACAAAAAATACCGAGATATAGAACTAGAAAAGCAGAAAGACATGGGGCCATTCTGAGTAGAGTTAGAAACTCTACATACTCAACACTCCCTGAGGCCATTGCTCAGGGTATACTGCATGGTAACTCATGAATAATTGAGAGTCAAAGGGTTGACCCTGGGATAGCAAGTAAAAGTTAAATAATTATAATCAGCATATTTAAGAAGCAGATAAGCTTAAGTATTTTAATATTTTAGAAAGATGGCCATTAAATTTATTAAAAATTTGAAAAAAAATAAACTTCAGTTCTCTGAACAATCAACTCCTACGTAATACTCAATTCCCCAAGGCACAGGTTAATGAGGTGGGACCAGAGAGAGAGACACAGAGAGAGGGAGAGAGAGAGAGGCACTGCTATATTACTAAGTCTAAGTAAAAATAAAAGCAACAATGCATTAAAGGCACTAAAAGCGTTTCAGTGGGTGATCCAAGCAAATGCTGGGCATTCAGAGGTGATTCTAAGAACACTACAAAAAGGCTTTACTTGAAGCGTCTGTAAGTGATGCCGGAGAAGGAAGGCAGGTAGCAGTCAGTGAGATAACACAAGGCTAAAAGAAAGTTCTATTTCTGCTAGAAAGAAGAGCTGCTGTTATCTTTGGCAGCAAAATAAAGAAACAAAACTTTAATAGGTGAAAGACTAGAACAAATAAGGATATGAAGAAGAGATGAAGACAAGATTCCTAAAAAAACGAATACTTTAACGGATCAATTTTATTTTGGCCAGATAGAGTAACATAAAACAAAGCCTTTTCTTCCTTCTGATTATAAAAGCCATTTAATATGCTCACTAAATAAGAAATATAAATGAAATTAAAAAAAAAACAACTACTTAGAATTGTTTTAAAATGGTATTTTAGGTTAGTTGCAATTATTTAAAAAAAAACTTTTTTAATGTTTATTTTTAAGACAGAGAGAGAGAGAGAGAGAGAGAAGCAAGACAGACAAAGTGTGAGCAGGGTAGGGGCAGACAGAGAGGGAGACACAGAATCCAAAGCAGGCTCCAGGCTCACACCTGTCAGCACAGGGCCCGATGCGGGGCGGGGGGGTGGCTCAAACTCAAGAACCATGAAATCATGACCTGAGCCAAAGTTAGTCACTTAACTGACTAAGCCACCCAGGCACCCCTCCAATTATTTTTTAAATCCATTTTAGGCATACATAGAGTTTTTAAAAACAAAATTTAGCTTATATACATACATGCTTTAAAAGCAAAAGTACATAAAAGTTTTTTTAGGTCTATGATAAAACTTATTTTTTCTCTGATTTTAGAATATTGTCTCACTTTTTTCATTTACTTTATTTTAAAGAGAGAGAGAGAGAGCAAGCAGGGGAATGTGGCAGAGGGAGAGAGAGAGAAACTTATGTACTGACTCAGGGCTTGATCCCACAACCCTGGGATCATGACCTGAGCCAAAATCAAGAGTCAGACGCTCAACCAACTGAGCCATTCAGGGGTCCCTAAACTTTTTTTTTAGTTACCAGTATATTGACAATGCCTTGCCCAAAGGAACTCAAGGAGGAAATGTAAAATCTCTTTACCTGATGCACGTACTCATCCATACTCGAAGGCATATCAAAATTGACCACCAGCCTGACACTGATCAAGTCCAGGCCTCGTCCCAGGACTCCGGTGCTCACCACAACTTCATAGTCTCCGTCAAGTAAACCCTTCCCCGAAAAGCAACACACTTCATTATTCGGAGTTTATCTCATATGGTTTTATCTAATCCAGATACCTTTTCTTTTTTTAATACTTTCTTCAATATTGCTGTTGCAGTGTCTTGTTAGTAAGTAAAGGTCTTAGTACCCCTGAGAACTCTGTGTGGTTTAAATTCTTTGCAGCCCCACCCCCACCCTCCCATCCTAACTCCATCATACTTTTTCTCTTAGTGTATTCAGGCAAACCTTTCCCAAGAGTGAACTACTGCTCCGCCCCAGGCTAAACTGACCTGATTTCAGAAATGGTAGGTTCTGAATTAGTAATCTATTTAGTAGATAACCCTGGAGGGAACAGGCTTATTGCTCCCGAAACACAGAAGCCTGAGCAAGAGGAGCAGATAGCCAGTCCTGCTTGCCTGAAGTTCTTGTGGTCCTTAAAAAAAGGTCTGCTTTAAAAACCAGCTGGAAATAGGGGGTCGCTTGAAAACAGAATGCTGAGTGTCAAACCTTCAAAATGTTCTTCCTTTCTGTCTGTGACTTCTCCGAATGGATGGAGACACTTTTTAGACCCGTGATCTTCTGCACTGCCTCGCTCAGCAGGTCTGCTCCCAGCTTGCAGTCCACAAATACTAACACTGGAGGCTTGAAGAGTTTCTTATCCTGAAAAATGAAAAACATATGTTTAAAATTATTCATATAACATAATTTACAACGGGAAGTTTTTCTGAAAGCATTAGTATAAGCTGGTTATCAACAGGCTTATAGAGGAAAAATGAGTGTTAAAATGAATGTTTTCTTTAAAATATGCGCAAACAAGCACAACAGTCCACTGCTATTCACATTTCTCCAACATTTCATTAATACTGCCACAATAACTTTAAAATTTTGAGTGCAACTGAAAATTTTAAATACTGTTCATGAGTAAATACAAACATATTTAACCTAATACTTTACTTTTAAGTGACTGTGCTTACACATATCACCCATTTAACAAATTTCTGTTTAAACAAGTTACTGCCAAAAAATTCTATTTCCCAAGGGCAGAACAATCAAGAAAGAACGTGTCTTTCACCTGATATATAAAACTACTAAAAATTTTTGAAACAAAAAAATATTACCTAAGAATAATCTTGATGTTTAAATGTCTTTCTAGAATTTGGAAAAGAAAAAGCAACTCTGCATCCATATAGCATGCTTATATAAATAAGTATGTATTTGATCCCCACAGAAATGAGGTAAAGCAATTTATTATTAAATATCTATGCTAAATTCCCCAAAGGTTACAGCTACATCTAAAAATCATGATCTTAAGGACTATGAAAAATGCAAAACAAGGTTGCCTGCTTAACTACTCACATTTAAGATTTCAAATAATTTTTTCTTTTTGGCCGGTTCTTCTACCCACAAAACAATCTGGCGCACGCTGGGGCAAGGCAGGTTCTTTTCCCCAGTGACAATTCTCACAGGATTGTGCAGAAGCTGGCTTCCTAGCTGTTCTATGCTGGTTGGAATTGTAGCTGAAACCAAAATGGTCTGACAATCATTAGGAACGTTTTCCAAAATGTCAAGCACTTGCTGTTGAAAGCCCATCTTTAACATGGTATCAGCCTAAAATAAAATCATTTCAAAGTTAGTCTTATTCGACGTTAAAACCCTGGACCACCCAAAGGAAAAAGTGACATGATTAGGAACATAAAAAATTAAAAACTTTTACACAGAAGAATACACAACAATGTCAAAAGATAAAGGATGAATTGGGAAAATATATATTTATATAAAATTATATATTGGGTAATTATAGGTTTTCAATGCTTACAAAGGTTTTTATGACATTATTAAGAGTGGCAATGTATCTTAAATATCCATCAATAGGGGATTTAGTAAATAAATTATGGTAGATCCACATAATACAACCCTATGCTGTCATTAATTATGACTAGAAAGGCTTTTATTAGATGATAAAGAATCACCGTAGGGGGAAAACAGCAAAGTACAGAACACTATGTATAACATGATACTAGCTGTGTGTACACCCAAGAAACTTAATTGTTGACTCTGGGGAGAAGGCTTATAAGCTGTGGAAGGGGATACAATTTAATTTTTCATTTTATAGCTTCTTGCAAAGTTGGTTGTTTTTTTTTTTTTTTACCATGCATGTATATTTACAGTAAAATATTAAATAAAAACATTTAATGTTGGGGGCCTCCACTTCTGTATATACCTCTATGTTGCTGGTCTTTAAAAACAATTTATGTATTACTAAGCAAACAGAAGAAAAATTTTTAAGTTAACGCTGCTTCAAAATAATAAAGATTAAGGCTATCTTGATTTTTAAATAATCTAAGTATCTATGATTTTAAAGAATAAGATATTTAACTACTTAAGAGTATTTAGACTAAGGTAGTATATTTTTAAGTGTCCACTAACATACTATTAAAGTCTGAACACTCATTTTAACATCCATTCTGTGGCATTTAAAAATCTAAAATTAAAAAATCTAAAATAATCACGATGGTCTGGGTTTGATCCCTACTCTACCTATGACCTTAAATTAACCAAGTTAATGAATGGCTATAAGCCTCAGTTTCTCCTTTTACAAATGGGAATGATAATAGTAACTATCCCATAGGGCTGTCATGAGGATTAATGAGCATATGTTATGAGGATAAAATATATAAAACACTTGGGATGACGTTATGAGGATAAAATATATAAAACACTTGGGATGACGTTCAAAGCATGGTTAAGTCTCTATGTTTCAATTTACTAGGAGACATAGAGCACGCTCACATGTGCACACACATGCTATGTCTTACAAATATCCCCTGCTTTTCTTCAATAATCCCACTAAGCCCCCCTCATCTCAGGAGATGGCCTTGCTTCTCCTGGTTCAGAAAATTGACCATCAGAAATAAATTCCCTCAGTTTCTCTTCTCATCCAAGCTTCCTTGCATCTAATCTGTTTATACTAACATGCCCCAAATGCAGCTACTTCTCTCCAGTTCACATTTGTGAAGCCATCCACCTCAAGCACCCAGAATCTTCTAGAACATCAATCAGATCTGTTACTCCTCTGCTTAAACCATCTAGTGTTTCCCACCACACAGAGAATAAAATCCAACTGTTAGGCACAGCCTAAAAGCCCTCCAGTTTTCATCCCCATCCACTTCTTTGACTTCATCGTCTACCACTCCCCCATCTCACACCCCACAACCCTGCCACTCCGCCCTTCTTTCTGTCCCCAACTAGCCCATGATCACTCCCATATCAGCCCCTACGCACTGGCTGAAGAGTCTTTCCTCCAGATGGATCTTTGTGTGGCTGGCTCCTTTCGTTCAGATCTCAGCATAAATGTCCCTCAGAGAGCCCTCCTCCCATACCAACCTAGGAAAACTCCCCTGTTGTCTCTGTCACACTACCTGTGTACATATATCCGTCATAGCTTATCTCACTTTCCATTGTATCCTCAAAACCAAGGACATGCCTAGCACGTAAAAAGCCCTAAAAATGTACCTGATAAACAAACAAGCATCCATCACTTCTAAGCACTGAAAAAGCACTGTCAGGCAGCTTGCTAGTCAGTGTGTCCCAAATCTCCCTAAAGATAAAGAAATCACCCTGAATGAGTTTTTAAATATTCCTGGACTCCAGCTCAGACCTACTGAATCAGAATATCCAAAGAAGAGGTCTGGTCTTCTATTACATCCACTGAGTACACTGGGTGATTCTTACCATTAGGGAAACTTGGGCAAACACTGTGGTTGGTTACTGGGATAAAGCAAGGAACATAATATAAGAGAAATAATAAAGTCCACATACAGGTCAACAGAGCAGAGAGAAAAGAAGGCCCAAAGTCTATCTAGGGGACTGATGGAAGGTTTCAGGGCCATGGACACATAAAGGAAGAGCAGGTAGACAGGGTAGGAGAGAATTCTAGGCCAAAGAGAAGGTACATGGAAGACGGAGAGCAGATTTTTCTCATTCTAAAGGAATTATCTTAGTTTTCATGCCTGACTATTCCTGTATCTTCCTCCTCCTCTTGGAACAGTGACCTCTCTTTTCAGGGACAGGACTTGTTCCCAGTTCCATCCGGTCTCTCAGATTACATCGTGTTTACAGACTCATCTTCAAATTCCACAGCCACTTAGTCCCAGTCTTTGTCCCTCTCTAACCTTCCTCCCTTAGAGAAATCAGTGTCTCGTGGATGGTAATGCACATTTCTCATATCCACACAGCATTTCATCCATCATTCCCAAGAAATTCCACATTTCTAAAACAAAACTCAAATGTTATTGCTAAGCTCCAACTCTTACCCACTTGCCCTTTACTTAAAATTAAAGGCACAACCAGCATATATGGAGTCACTTCAACCCCCTTCTTCTCCCTCTTCCCTTATATTCAGTCATCAGAAGACTCATGAATGATTTGCAGTGGTTCTCACATGTACTCACAACTCCCACTGCCTCCGCCCTGTCCCTGACCCTACTCACCTCTTGTCTGGGTTGCTGGCCACTCTGTCCCACAGAGTCCTTCTTCTTTAATTTCTCTTGCACGGAGCAGCAGAAGAACCTTGCTAAACTACCACTTTCCACTCATGACACCCCAACTCAATAATTTAGAAAGCCTCGTTGTTTCCCACATCAAATCCAAAATCCTCCTCCTCCCTTTCAAGGCCCTCTGTAATTTGACCCCACCCTAACTACCCAACTTTATGTCCTATTATTTCTCAGGGAGAACACTTCGGCTGGCTGGTCTCCCCGTGCATGTGCTTGGCCTTTCTGGCTCTGCCTATGTTAGCTTCTTCACCTGGAATACTTGATACATTCTCTAATTTTCTAAATCCTTTTCCATCTGTGGATGACCAGATCAAATCCCATTCCCTCGGAGAGCCCAATTTTTACAGTGCCAATTCACACAATGTCTCATTTCTCTTGACCTTAATTGCCCTAAAAAAATCAGCATATCATACATAGTCCCATTATTTTACTAACAGCTTCCATCAGAGGTCAGCAAACTAAGGTTCTCGGGACGAACACAGGCCTTTATGTGTTTCTGTAAATAATTTTATTACGGGAACACAGTCACACCCATGTACTGACCTAGTGTCTATGGTTGTACTGAGCAGTTACAACAGAGACTAAGTAGCCCCCGAAGCCTAGAATACTTACTATCTGGTCCCCTACAGCAGGAGTTTGCCATTCCTTGGCCTATACTACACATCTTAGTACTTTTGTATTTCAGTACATACATATGATAATGTTCTTGCTTTATTTAAGTGTATATGTCTTTTTCCCCAATAAGATTTCAAGACTCTGCAGCTCTGAATAATATTTAAAATTTCTTTGTGATGCCATCCAGACTTACCTACAGTTGTCCAGTCTACATACAGGGCAGGGAAAGAAGGCCTAAGGTCTACCTGGGGGACTGATGGAAGGCTTCAGAGCCACGGACTCTGAATGGTACTTTTATGCCGACTTCAGTTTCAGTACATGACCAATTATATTGTTTACCAGCTCACTTCCTTAAACGCTAAGGAGCTGGGACAGAGGCTGGACATAACAAGCACTCAGCACAGGTTTGCTGAATGAATACTCCTTTTGTATTCTGAGCACAGCACTGAGGTGTCCTATGAAACCCTATTAGTTGGCAAAGATGGAAATGTCGTCAAAGAAGCAAACAGGAATGAAAACTTTAAAATTTATGTGACGATCCGCTTCTCAGGCCCATAAGATGGCAAGAACGTAAGAACATGGGCTTACCAACAATGAGATGCCCGTTCGTACTTGCAGGAATGCAAGTAAGTAAGTCTAATGATAATCCAATGCAGTAAATCAGTTGAACCAAAAGGCACACCAGGAAAATGCTGACTTAGCAGCACCTTTTAAAGGACTGAATAAACAGCTCAAAACAGCCAAGACATGGAAACAACCTGTGTCCATCGGCAGACGAAGGGATAAAGAAAATTTGGTGCATATATACACAACAGAATATTATTCAGACTTAAAATTCTTTCATTTTTAGTAACATAGATGGACCTGGAGGGCGTTAAACTAAGTAAGCTAGACAGAAAAAGACAAATATTGTATGTAGTACTTATTATGTACAATTGAAAAAAGTTGAAAATAAGAAAATAAAAGTCAAATTCATAGAAATTAATAGAAAAACGATTGCCAGCAGGCTGGAGAGTGAGGTGAAAAAGTGAGGTGAGAGTGAAAAAGGAAGAGGTTTGGGATAAAAGAGTAAAAACTTTCAGTTATAAAATAGATAAGGTCTGATGTGCATAACATGGTTACCATAGTTGGTAACAGCATATGCTATACATGAAATTTCCTAAGGGAGTAGAACTTAAATATTCTCACCAAAAAAAAAAGTAAATATGTAAGGAAAAAAACAGAAAAAAAATAATAAAGGACTGAATAACATTATTTTACATTTTTACAGCAGTTTTCAGTCTATGAGACATTTTCACAGTGTCTAGAAGATTAAATGACTTGCCCAGCATTCCATAGTAGGTGGAGTAAAGGTTCAAATCCCCGTCTTGTGGTCTTGCCCAGGTGTGCCTTCCACACCCCGTGGCATCCCACTGCTACTTATTGAGCCCCACAGAAGGCAGGCCAGGTTGCCATCACTGGTCAGCACCTGGACCCCACATCTGTGATCGCTGCTGGGACATGTGTGAAGGCAGAGGTGCAGTGCCCTGTAGGCAGAACTAGAACATGTCCAGCCTGGGCTGATACGTGATTTTGTGTCCTCATGCTTGTTCATTTGGTGGAATATCATCGGATACTAACATATTTATTTCATGTCATAAGCAAACCAAAAATATAAAAATGCCTATATGCCCTGTGTACCACTGAAAATCACAACCACAGATGCCTATGACCACATAGAAAAAAATATAAAAGGTCATCCAACTAAGCGTTCTCAGTGACTTCCAAAATCCCTGTTAATAGTTATTTGCCACTGATGCTTTTATTTTTGTAGACAAATGACAGCCAGTGACGAATGCTTAAAACACTTATCACTGAGAATATAATAGCTGTTGGATTTGTGTTTTCTGTCAATAAGGAAAAGACGGCTAATTTTATTTATTAATGTTTAGTTATAATTATATTTAAATTAAGACTGATCACTGCAATTAGGGGCCCCTGGGTGACTTAGTCGGTTAAGTGTCTGCTCAGGTCATGATCTCACAGTTTGTTGAGTTTCAGCCCTGTGTCAGGCTCTGTGCTGACAGCTCAGAGTCTGGAGCCTGTTTCAGATTCTATGTCTCCCTCTCTCTCTGCCCGTCCCCAACTCGGGCTCTCTCCCTTTCTCTCAAATATAAATAAACATTAAAAAAAGAATGACCACTGCAATTAAAAAATCCCTCAGTTTTTTTTCCTTTGGGGAGAAAATGCCTGAACACAAGGTGAAATTATATAACTATAATGTATTTTTCACAAACTATATAAGATCATGTCACTAATGTTCTAAACAACACTACTTACTTCATCTATGACTACAATTTTTATACCACGGAGTTCTACAGAGCTCTGTTTTATTATATCCAGAAGTCGTCCAGGAGTTGCAATGATAACCTGAATAAAAAAGAAAAAGAAAATAAATTAGATAATATTCCTTCCTTATTTGTTCTTTCTATCTACACTTACTGAGTGGCTAATATGTGCCAGTCACTGAGGTCAGGTGCTCAGAATTCAATGATGATTAAGTCAGACATAGCCTCTGCTCTCATGAAACTCGTAACACAAAGGAAGGAACGGATAAAACACATAAATGCTCGTGAAGTCAGTATGGTATCCAATAAATGGAGGCACCTATCCAGTCCTAGCTAACATATAAGCTGAATCCTAACACAGAAGTAGTAGAGGACCAGGTGGAGGAAAACATCCAAGAACCTTCTGAAGCTGGATGGCCACCAAAGCTTCCACAAGGTGAAAGAGGGGAAGAAGAAAGACCTGGGTGAAGCTTGAAACCAGTCAGAGCCAGGATGGGCCGTGCAGGCAGGGTGACCGCTATTTGGCTCCATAAGCAAGTGCAAATCCCTGAACCTCTTTGGGCCTGTTATTTCTTTTTAAATGAAAAGGGTGGGAACAATGATTTTTAAAGCTGCTTAACGCTCTTCACAGTTTTATAATAGTTGAGGAGTAGTTAAAAGTAGGGGCCATTTGGTCAAACTTCAGTAGGAGTCTTAGCACTGGCACTTAATAAATGGTGTGAGGCTCTGTTCTCACATTCATAAAATGGAAATGATAATAATTATTGTAAGGATCAAATGAGATGTGCCCAGCGTAAAGTACAGTTGAGTTAGAAATGATCTAATAAATTCAATTTTATTCCACTCTTCAAGGACACACCAACACAATGGTAAGATCATGGAGAATGATAAAATTTCAGGGTTGTAAGGATCTGTATCCACAGAACTATAGAGCTCTGCCTGGCTTCTTCAGAAGTATCATAAACACTTAAATCCATTTTTTTTAATGTTTATTTATTTTGAGGAGACAGAGAGAAACAGAGCACAAGCAGGGGAGGGGCAGAGAGAAAGAGGGAGACAGAGGATCAGAAGCAGGTTATGCGCTAACAGCAGAAAGCCTGATGCAGGGCTGAAACTCATGAATCACGAGATCATGACCTGAACTGAAGTCAGATGCTTACCTGACTGAGCCACCCAGGTGCCCCTTGAACAGACAGATTTTCTCAGAGGGCATCTGTGAAGGACATGGCCCAGCATAGGAAGTGGGAGAGGTAGGAGGGTGACAAGAGGGCCTCCATAGAAAGGTGGCCCCTGCACAGGGTGGTGTAGTCTCAGGGGGTGAGGAGGGTGCAGGGTGGAGTCTAGAAAGGAAGGCATCACTGTGGGGCAGGGGACAGAGATGAGGATGGGCTAGTGGTTACACAGAGGAGGATTGGTTAATAAATATATAAAAGATAATGGGTAGCAAGCTTCTCACTGCCAGGGTTACAAATATGGAGACAGAAAACCCCAAAAAGAATCTTGTTGTGTTTAAGTACAGTTGGAAATATCGACATGAACTCATGGTGTCCAATAAACACAGATGCAGAAATACCCACTTACGGAGTAATTCCCTCCCTCTATTCACTGAGAGGTCCTAGAAGTAATGATAACTCAACAGCAAAAGCTATAGCAATGAGCCCAACCTAGAGCCCAGCCTTGGTTTCTAAATACTGTCCTCTAGCAAAAGGAATCAGGGCAACTTGGGGAAAAGCATGAGTCCAGGGCAGAGGCAACGAAAGAACAGTGAAAGCATGAACATCTTCTTCAGAAAGAAAGAAACAAAGTGCTCAGAGAATGATGGGGATATAATAAAAGGACACAGGAGCCAACCTGAAGGTGATTCCACTGCTCAAATTGGGTACAACTGGAGAATCAAAACAAATAATGGTAATAACAGATTATAATCCTTTAGAGAAAGAGAATAAGAGAGCAGAGAAGAGGGGTAGAGGGAGGGACAGAACCTTTTTTTTTTTTTTAAATGTTCATTTATTTTTGAGAGAGAGAGAGTGAGCACACATGCACAAATGGGGGAGTGGCAGAGAGAGAGAGGAAGACAGAGGATCAGAAGTGAAGTGGGCTTGGGCTGAGAGCAGAAAGCCCGATGTGGGGCTCAAACTCACAGACTGTGAGATCATGACATGACCCAAAATCAAGAGGTGGATGCTCAACTGACTGAGCCATCCAGGGGCCCTCTGGTTATAATCCTTTAAATGAAATAGGAAATCATGAGTCTGTACTCATTGAAATATATATATATATTGAAATATATATATATGTATATATATATATTAGAATAAGCTTGAAATGTGGTAAAGCACAAGAAATTTATGGTATGAAAGTACACCTCAAAATACAAAGGGCAAAAATAAAACTTTACAGTTACTTTACAGATAAAAGGACATCAGTAAAAGGACAACCTGAAATTATGTATTATCTACAAGGATGTAATAAAAAGAACAAAGCATCTCTCCTGTGATATTACTTTCAAACATACATAACTTGAATCTAATCAGTTGAGGGACCTTCTTCAAAGTAAGCAGTTTATAATCCTTAAAAGTGTCAAGATCATGGAAAAAAAAAAAAAAAAGGCAAACACTGAAGAACTGTTCCAAACCAAAGGAGACGAAAGAGACATGACAACTAAATGTAAAATATGATCCTGAACTGGGTTCCTGTGCTATTTAAAAAAAAAAAAAAAAGGTGATGGGATAATTAGCAAAACATGAACGGGGTCTGAGGAGTAGATGACAGCAACATTAACTCCTGATGCATTCCAGTGTATCAATGTTAATTTCCTGATTCTATCACTGGATTGTGGTTACATGGGATAGCCTCCTTCTCTGTAGGAATCACATTCTAGGGGCACCTGGCTGGCTCAGTCAGCGAAGCATACAACTCTTGACCTTAGGGTTGTGAGATCGAGCCCTATGTTGGGCACAGAACCTACTTAAAAAACAAAAAAGGGAAATCACACTATATACTAGCTATGGATCCTTAGATAAACCCCATCTTTCTGAGATTCAACTTCTCAGCCATAAAAGATGAGATATGCCAACCCACCGTCAAGATCAAATGTGATAACTGAATGGGATGATGCACGTGAAAACATCCATCAGCATTTGGCATATGACAGACACTCAATAAATTGTGTTCCTTTCTTACAGAAAACAAACTTAAGGGGCACCTGGGCAGCTCAGTTGGTTAAGCATCTTGATTTCAGCTCAGGTCATGATCTCATGGTTCACAGGTTCAAGCCCCGCATCTGGCTCTAAACTGACAGCAGAGAGCCTGCTTGGGATTCTCTCTCTCCCTCTCTCTCTCTCTTTCTGCCTCTCCCCTGCTCTCTCTCCCTTTCTGTCTCAAAAATAAATAAATACACATTAAGAAAAGTAAAAGATTTATTTTTTAAAAAACTTAAAAAAAATTAAGGCTTATACTCGGCAAGAATTTAAGGCTAACCTAAGGGCACCTGGGTGGCTAATACAGTTAAGTGTCCGACTCCTGATTTCAGTTCAGGTCATGATCTCACAGCTCATGAGGTTGAGCTCTGCATTGGGCTCTTTGCTGGCAGCACAGAGCCTGCTTGGGATTCTCTCCCTCCCTCTCTCTCCTGCCACCCACTGCCTCAAAATAAAGTTAAGAAAAAAAAGGTTTAACCTAAAATCACACTCGTAAGTTCCTTAAAGGGCAAAAAAATAAAACACAACAGCTAGCTCCCATACTGCTTACAATACGTTTCAAAGACATTTTACCAAATTGGTGCTCACCTTAACATGTTGTCGCAGACGATACAGCTGCGGGGGTAGGGGTAAGCCCCCTACCAGAAGTACTGTTTTCATGCGTGGCAGACCAGTCATCAATTCCTTAGCCTGGCTCTCTATTTGAATGGCTAACTCTCTTGTTGGCGTAAGAATGAGTGCAGATGGAGTTTTGCTCTGCAGAGATGGGACAAACAAGTTTAAAAGCACTGGCAATTAATTCCTGCTGATGTGGACTTAATCTTCAAAGTGATTCTAGGAGTGTTCCCATCAGCCCAACTGGATATGCACCCTCCTGCCTTCTGTTCACTGCAGATGTTCTCTCCAAAAACCACCGTAAATTAAACCCATCTCTTATACAACATAGATATACAATGAAAGATCAAAACTGGGGCCAGGGAGAAGCACCCATAACAGGAAAGGTGGGAAAATTGAAAGTATGCTCCCAGTCTAATAGACGCAGCAATCTACAGCCACATTCCTCGGAAGAGAAAGCCATGAAGATCTGGTTAAAGCTTGGCATTCCACCTTTGAGACTTCCTTCTCTGCTGTCCTGTGGGTTCACTTACTGTTATAAATGTCCTATTTCCTGCACTATAGCTCTATTTTGGACATCCAGAGGGTTTTACCTATATTGAACATGTGGTGCTTTTCTTTATTTTTTCCTTGCATTATCTTCTATAATTCTTAGTTTTCCAAATTTTCCTCTTTTACCTCTCCTATCTTTGCCTACATTTTGCACTGGTTTCCCTTCCTGCCCTACTCCAGACCTCACGAATTTAATAGTACTTGGCAAATGTTGTTAGCTAAAATAATTATGTGTGAGGGTGCTTTATACACTATAAACTAACAACTAAAGTAAGGCTGCATTATTTTAAGATGAAGCAGGAATTACATTTAAGGGTATCTTCTGAACTCTACAATAGCTTTCTAACTTTGGTATAAATCAGTTTTTTGAAAACACAAAATCCAAGGAGGCTAAATTGACACAAAAATTGCAGGTCATCCAGTCAGCAGGATTTCTTCCCCCAAGGCAAAAGTTCACTTCTTGAATAGAAAATTTGTTGAAAAGAAAATATTTTGTAAGGAAGGCAATTTTTAAGACCTTCAAGGAAAAGATCTTTGGTTCAATCTGATAAAAGTAAAACTCCAGGGTGCCTGGGTGGCTCAGTCAGTTAAGCTTCCGACTTCAGCTCAGGTCAAGATCTCACGGGCTCGTGAGTTCAAGTCCCACATCAGGCTCTGCGCTGACAGCTCAGAGCCAGGAGACTGCTTCAGATTCTGTGTCTCCCTCTCTCTCTCTCTCTCCCCCTCCCCTGCTCATGCTCAAACATAAACAAACATTAAAAAAACTTTTTTTTTTAATTTTTTTTTTTTTTTTATTTCTAGGAGAGAGAAACAGCATGAGCAGGGGAGGGTCAGAGAGAGAGGGAGGCACAGAATCTGAAACAGGCTCCAGGCTCTGAGCTGGCAGTCAGCACAGAGCCCGAAGCGGGGCTTGAACCCACGAACCGCGAGATCATGACCTAAGCGAAAGTCGGACGCTTAACCGACTAAGCCACCCAGGCGCCCCTAAAAAAAACTTTTTTTTCAAAAAAGGAAAGTTCGGGGCGCCTGGGTGGCTCAGTCGGTTAAGCATCTGACTTCGGCTGAGATCATGAGCTCACGGCTCATGCGTTTGAGGCCCGCGTCGGGCTCTGTGCTGACACTTAGGTCAGAGCCTGGGGCCTGTTTCAAATTCTGTATCTCCCCCTCTCTCTGACCCTCTCCTGTTCATCCTGTCTCTCTCTCCGAAATAAATAAAACATTTAAAAAAAAAATGTTCCTTATAAAAAAAAAGGAAAATTCCCTAAAGTTATGTTTTTCATACAAACTACCATCAGAAGCAAAATCACAAGGAACATTAATGACTAAGACTAATGACTTAAGGTAATTAAGGCTGAAACTTGGTATATACCTGGCTTGTTTCTGGGAGTAACACATGTGAACTCTTACCTCACATAAAGCTCGGGTGATGACAGGAAGAAGAAAAGCAGCTGTTTTCCCTGAGCCGGTATCTGCACTGGCCAGAATGTCTCTTCCCAGGAGTCCCACAGGAATCATCTGCATCTGGATGGGGGTTGGAACTTCATAGCCTGATTTCTTCAGGTTGAGATTTAAGGCTTCAGGGAAACCGCAATGCTCGAAGTCAATAATAGGTCTGGTGACATCTTGCCCTTGAACTACGATGCCTAGCTGCCGTTTCAGGTTTTCAATCTGGTCTTCCTGAAGGTTCAGAATAAAGGGGTGCTCTTTATAGACATAAAAAGCATTAAGTGGAGACTTGGGCTCAGAATCCGCTTCCTGCGGATTGCTGAGTTTTGATCTCTCTTCCTTCTCCTTGACTTGCAGAAGATGTTTGGCCTTACACTCCAAGCTACACACGTCTTCGTCTGTCTCATTGCAGATGTATTCTCCGTAACGACCACAGACCACACACACAGGTTCCCCAGGTTCTGCCCAGCGCTGTGTTTTGGAAAATGACTTGACAGGCTCTTCAGAAAGATCACTATCCTTTGCGTCCCGCTCGGGTCCAACCAAACCAACCTCAGCCAACTGGCCAGCTGGACCAGGGAAAGGGGACGGTTCTGCGCTATTCCTGTCAGATGTCGTGGCTTCTTTTGCAACTAAAGCATCAGTTGGATGCTCTCTGCCTTCATCCAGCCGAAGGTCTTCCACATCTGGTTTAGTTTTCTTAGCTGCACAACTTTTGCTGTCATCATTAGCATTCCTCTTGATTTTTAGAGATCGTGGTACAAACATCCTCCAATATCCTGTTGAGGAAATGATATAATGAGATTTATTTTGCCCCGGTGAAGAATAAAATTCACACATAAAGTACGGTTATCTTGGAGTTAGCCTAGTGTCCCTGGGCTTTGCCTGAGAGAACAGAAGGCATCATGACACTACTTAGAGCAAGCTTTTCATAGCCATTCATAAATTTCCTCTGGTGGAAAAAAAAAAAAAAACAACAGCCCCTTCTCCTTACACATGGGAGTGGTGAAACTTTGCACACTGCTTAGCACAGCCTTGTGCATACAGCCTGCTGCTGTTTACTGACTACTTGCACTTTGAAATACCAAATATTATAGAAATTCCGGAGTAAATCCTTTTATTACATTTTCACCAAACAGGAGAAATACTTCACAACTGGAATCTTTAAAATCAAAACCACAAAGCATAGAGAAAAATGCTATTTTGATGTAGTAAGTAGCCCGTATGTATCTCTCTATGTTCCAAAGTGCTTAGTGCTTCATGGGTTAACCCTGTCTTTACAAGCTTGGAAAGTAGGTTAGCATCCCAACCCGCCCCCAACATACATAGCTATTTATTATGCTGTATTATGTATTCTATTATAATTTTTCACATAAGGAAACTTGGCCAGCTAGAGATTAAATGGCTTGTCCAAACTCACACCATTCTCAGTTGTTAGAAGCCAGGCAATTCTGGCTCCAGAGCGCAAGCTCCCAACCACGGCTATGCCTATTTCCACCAAAAATGTTTTTGCGGAATTACTGTGGGTTGTGAAAGGTTTTTAACCTAATTTTGAGCCTATTAAATATACTAATACACATTTTTCTCAAAAAAAAAAATTCTTAGGATAAATTACCAGGTCCAATTTCTCCAGAAAAATTCCAACAAAAATGCAACTGGAGTTCTAGAATTAGTCTCCCAAGTCTCCGCGAATGTCAAGGAGGTGGGGAGAGGGACGGCTCTAGGTCAGCAGGGAAGAACTCGGGAACTCGAAGTCCTCAAATGGCTAAACGGAACCGGCTCCGGCAGGACGGAGGGGGGAGGGGGCGGCGCGGCCTCCCAGTCGCCAGATCTCTCGGGTGGCGCGCTCCCAGACCCTCCCCTCGGGCGTTGCCCCTCACCCCCGCCCCGCAGCCCCGCACCCAAAGGCGCACGCACGTCACGGCGCTGCTAGGAGACGGGGAGGGCGGGGCTCCGGGTTGCGGCTGGAGGCCGGGGACCCCGCGACTGCAAGGGTGGGAGGGGGACTGCCTACGGGTGGTGGGGGAACCGCCTACAGGGTGGGGGGATCCTACCGCCGCGGCCTAGCGCCCCGCGTCCCAGAGGGGAGGGAGCACTCCGGGAAGGAGGCCCGAGCTGCCGGAGCCCGCGGCACGCTCTCCCGCGCAGACCTGGGGCGCGTCCGCTCCCGCGCGGGGCCGGCTTCCCCCTCCAGGCACTGGGCCCAGTTTCCTGCCGACGAGCCTGGACCCGCTCGGTTAGGAAGGGCGGTGCGGAGCGCAGAGTCCACTTCTCCGGGTTTTGGAAGGAGGCCGCGGCGCGCTTCGGGGCGGCGGGGAAGGCGGGGCTACCGCAGGAGGCGGAGCTTGGCGGGGGCTGGCGGGGGCGGGAGGAACGAGGGAGGGGCGGGGCCTTTCCCTCCCGGCCGCGCTCCCTGCTGCTGGCAAACGTGGAGAGCGGCTGGAGCTAGCCGGGTTCTGCAGGGCGGGGCGGGTTTGGGGATCCTCTCGGAAGAATTTACGTCATCGAGTGGGCCAGCACTGGTGAAAAACAGTTAGACCGCCCGGAAAGACTGAAGCGGGTGGCGCGGGGGCCTGGTACGCTTAGGAAGTGGGAAGTCGGAGGGTGGAAGGGAGGGGCAGAGGCCCCAGAGGCCTGAAAACCCGTTCTGCTTTGAGCTGGCCAAAGAACTCTGAAACTAAATGGAGTAAGTTTAATGTGATGTATTTGATACACTGGATAATCTTTCCGTGCTACCACACCCCACCCATCACCGAACAGAAAATAACACAAGTCACGGTTTTTGGTCCCCGTGCATTGCCGTTTCTCAGCTTTGCCAGACTCTGGCAGCTGGGAGTTAAAAGACACTGGGATGGGGAGAAAGGGGGAGAGGAAAGCCCAGGTCGCCGACTAAAGTATTTTTCTTAACTATTCAAAAATACTTCCGGGCTAATATTTGGTGCACACAAAATAACATTTTGAACAATTACGTTACATTTTAAAGATTCTGAGAATACGAAAGTCTGTGACTCCGCCACGTTGTTATAAAAGCATATATCCCTTCATCTCGGGTTCAACCCTTACTTCTTCCCTTAGCGACCACGATTCTGGATTTCGTGTCTCTCTCCTTGCCATTTTTAGTAGTTCTATCGTAGTTGGATGCTTTTCTAAATGATATATTGTTTCCTTTTCCTTCTTTTTGAGCTTTATGAAAACAATATATATCTAGCCGTGTGGGATTCGCTTTTATCATTCGTTTCTTTGATTCATCCAAGTTTGTTAAGCGTAAGCAAGCAGTAAAACATTCACTTTTACTGTTATAATATTTTGTATCTGTAAAGTTGTTTACTTGTAATTGCTTATCCATTTTCCTGGGGACTCTTGAATTGTCTCCAGTATTTTGTATTTATTGAGGCAAATTTACCATGAAGCTAATGAAATTTGAGCTTCAGGGCCCTTTACCCCCATGGGTCCCTTCTAAAGCCCTAAAAGAGGAGCCTTGTCATTGTGTTCACATGGTCATATGTTTTTGTAAAATCTTCGAAAGAAATATTAAACCACGATGGATTAGGACCACTTTCTCTTCATACTCCAGCGCTCCCTCCTTCAACATTTCTCAAGTTGGGTGGTGATAGATGGCAGCAGGCATTTGGGGATCCAGCCAAGGTGGGTTGAGTTGCAGATGCATTTACTTGAGTTCAGTGGAATGTATTTATGGGTTTGCAGTCTGTTAACTTAGGCTATTGCTGTCCAGCCTAGAGTAGGAAGGTGCAGGGACAAATGTGAATCTGAATATGTCCTACAGCATCCAGCATCAGAAGTATATGCATGTGGAGGGAAAAAAATATAGTTTGAAATGGAGGGAGCTAGAAGCTGGCCTGTAAAAATCTATTAGATCTGTAAAAGTGTAAGCAGAGAATGGAGTTCTGACTGATGCTTAGTCAAATGGAAATTCTCTCCCATTAGGAATGTCTTTGTGATTGTCATTATAAATGCACTTTACATTTTTCCTTTATTGATGGGAATCATTGAAAGTAAAATTTATCAGAATCCCTGAGTTTGTAGGTCACAAACAGTGATTCTGTCCAGACTTTTTTTTAAATATCTCAAAGACTAATAATTTTAAAAAGCTCAATTAACTATGCTGAAAGAAAGACTTAGTCTTTTTATTTTCTCTACATAAACATTGTTATGAAGAGGGATCAAAGAGTATGCAGTTAAAAAAAAAAAGGAAAAGGGAAAGGTATAGAGGTGCATAAAACACTTAAAAAAATAGTATGGTACTTTACTGGGTTTTGTCGCATTTGTAATGTGTTGTGATTTTTCTGCTATTATGTAATCTCATGCCCCTACAAAACCCAAATCTGCCCCCTAGTAATTACTAACAAGGCTGGTAGGAACATTCTGTGCACGTCTTCTGTGGATGTGCACGAGTTTCATTTTCAACCCAGGAACACCGCTTCTAGGTCAGAGGGTTTGAGGTATTCAACTTTAAAAGATAAGGCCGAAATGTTTTCAAAGTGGTGGTAACAATCTATGCTGATCAGCCCTTTCTAATTACTCTGCATTCACTCCAAACCTTATTATTGTCAGACTTCTTAATTTTTGCTAGTCTACCAAGAGTAAATCCGTGCCATAACGTTGAGCATTTTTCATATTGATTATCCATTTCTATTTCTCTTCTTCTTCTAAGGGCTTTTCTTTTCTCTTTTCTTTTCTTTTTAATGCTTATTTATTTTTGAGAGATACAGATGGAGCACGAGCAAGGGAAGGGCAGAGAGAGAGGGAGACACAGAATCCAAAGCAGGTTCCAAGGTCTGAGCTGTCAGCCCAGAGCCCCATGCAGGGCTTGAACCCACGAATCATGAGATCATGACCTGAGCCGAAGTTGGATGCTTAACCGACTGAGCTGCCCAGGCTCCTGGAGGGTTTTTCTTTTTAAAAATGTATTCTTGAGGGGCACCTGGGCAGCTTAGTCAGTTAAGCGTCCAACGTTAGCTCATTTCATGATCTCACGGTGTGTGAGATCGAGCCTTGTATTGGGCAGGCTCACAGCTGTCAGCACAAAGCCCACTTCTGGATCCTCTGTCCCCCTCTCTCTCTGACCCTCCCCTGCTCACACTCACTCAAAAATATATAAAACATTTAAAAAATAATTATAAGAAATACATTCTTGATACCAATCTTTTTGTCAATTGTATGTGTTGGAAATATTTTCTCCCTGTTTATAGCATGTATTTTCAAGCATTCAAAACCATTTTTAATTCTATTTTGGAAAAAAACATCAAACTTACAGAAAAGTTTCATGACAAATACAGTGAACTCCTGTGTAAATACCATTCACATCAATTCAGTTTGCTATATTTGTGTAAAATAGACAAAATATACATCACTTTTGCTAATCTATTTGAGACTAAGTTATAGTGTGTATCCTTGAAAACAAAAATATTCTTCTTATGTACCAAATTTAGATAGCTAACATTGAACCATTTTTAAGTTTAGGTAGTTTTTAAAAATTTTTTTAAATGTTTTTTATTTATTTTTGAGAGAGAGAGAGAGACAGCGTGAGCAGGGGAGGGTCAGAGAGAGAGGGAGATACAGAATCTGAACACAGGCTTCAGGCTCTGAACTAGCTGTCAGCACAGAGCCCGAAGTGGGACTTGAACCCATGAATTGGGAGATCATGACCTGAGCCAAAGTCGGAGGCTTTACCGAATGAGCCACCCCTAAATTTAGGTAATTTAACACTGAGAGAATGCTAACATCTAATTTACAGTTTATATTGAATTTGGCCAGTTGTTCCAAAAGTGTTCTTTACAGCAATTTTTCCCCCAATCCAGCCTCCAGTCCAAGACTTTTTTACTTTATGGAATCTCTTGATTCCATAATCTTTTCTTCTGTAGTTTGCAACTTTGACCTCTAAAAATTCCTTGCCCTGCCCTGGGCTGGGGGGCAGGAGGGATGAATATGTTTTTCTGGCTGTAAAAGCATTGTGTGTGATACCATAATGGTGGATAGCGTCATTATACATTTGTCCAAACCCATAGAATGTACAACACCAGGGGTAAACCCGAAGGTAATTGTGGACTTACATGAAAATGAGGAATCAGCATAGATTCATGAATAGTAGTAAACAAACCACTCTGGTGGGAGATGTTGATAAAGGGAGAGACTATGCATGAATGGGGAAGTAGGTTTAGGGAAAACCTCCAGAGGGGTGCCTGGGTTGCTCAGTGGGCTAAGCATCAGATGTCAGCTCAGGCACAGAGCCCGCTTGGATCCTCTGTCCCCACCTCTCTCTCTCTGTCCCTCGCCCAGTCTCTTTCCCTCTCTCCAAAATAAAGATAAACATTAAAAAAAATTCTTTTTAAAGAAAGAAAAAAAAATTCTTGCCTACCCTAAAGTCGGGTAACTCCTAGAATTTGGGTGGAAACTTTAAAAGTTTTGCCTTTCGGGGTGCCTGGGTGGCTCAGTCGGTTAAGAGTCCAACTTCAGCTCAGGTCATGATCTCACAGTTTGTGAGTTCAAGCCCCACATTGGGCTCTGTGCTGACAGCTCAGAGCCTGGAGCTTGCTTTGGAATCTGTGTCTCCCTCTCTCTCTGCTCCTCATTCCCCACCTGAACTCTCTCTGTCTGTCTCTCTCTCTCAGAAATAAACATTAAAAAATATTTTTTAAAAATGTTTTTTGCCTTTCACATTTAAATCATTAGTCCACACAGAATTTGTTTTTGTTTTGTATGAAATAGGAATCTATTTCTTTGTTTTCCAAATGGCCAGCCAATGTTTCCAATACCATTTATTGACTAGAATTCCTCCAGTGATCTGCAATGCCATCTCTGATCATATATCA